TATAAATATATATATATATATATATAATCTGCCAACGAGCCAACTGTAGAGTTGCAAGAATGATGTAGTCAAATGTAATAAAAAATATTGTTTATTCAAATGTAGTACAAATGTAGAACAATGCATCAAATAACATTAAGCATATCTCTAATTAAAGGGTGAAAATCAATTCTGTATTGTTGCGGAGACTCTGTTACTTTTTTTTTTTTTCATCTTTTTTTTTCCCCCTACAGTTGTATACGTGTTGTTTGAAGACCATAGTGTCTTTCTGTCATTGTCATTGTGTCTGTCGTCGATGTAACATCACTGCCATCTTGTCCTTTCTCTGCCACTTTTAATCTTATAAGTTTGAGCTTTTTTTTTCTCCCATTCTTCTTCAGCCTCGTCTTCTTCTTGGTCGACTCCTCTTCTTCTTCTTCTCATTCCTCAAGTGTTCCACTTTGCATTCCCAACTTTGATTGACCTTTCGTTGTGTCCATTTTCATTCTCTTTCTCATTCTGGAGATCCCTAGTGGTCTGGTGGCTAGGATTCAGTGCTCTCACTGCCGAGGCAGTGGTGGCTTGGTGGTTAAGGAAGCAAGATTTGGGTCCGGAAGTTTTCAGGTTCGAGTTCACATTTCGTTATGTGCGGTGGCGTGCTACGTCACAATGACGAATAATTTACTTTGTTTCACAGCTATTTTGGCTCAAATGAAAATCTTTCCATTTTAAATATCAATATCAACTCAACGAGTTTGCCTTTTAACACCTTCTATCGAAGGGACCATAATCGGATTCCCCCTTTACTTGCCTTTACTATACTCTGTCTCCTACGTAGTGGATCAGCATTCCCTCTTCTTCTTAACTTCTTCAGCAACATACTCCTCCCTCCTCTGCCATGTCCTCATTCCAAACAGTCGTCGTATGTGGGATAAGGTTTGCCCACGCCATTTCATTTCTCCAAAAGTGGGAATATGTTCGTGATGACCGACACACTTTTTTTGACAAGGCAGGTTGGCATAAAAGCTTGGCAACCACGGGGTCTCATTTTGGTCAATTTCCCCTGATAGTGTTCAAACCTATCTGAACTCATTTGGGAAGGGCGCCAAAGCACCACATGGTTTATGGATCAATTGACATCTTCCAAGGTTTTTGCATTTGCTTTCCTTTTTGACTTTAAATGCTGACAGATTTGGCCTATTTCGCCAAAAACTGGGCACTCCGGTGTTGCAATTTGGTTAAAAAGTTGACTGGAGACACCAGGCATAAACAAACCTTAGTGTAAAAGTTGTTTCTATTTCTTTTCTTTTTCCATTGAAATTGGATCGTTCTACTAGCTGGTCATCGTTTTGAGCTAAACTCGCGTAAGGGAATACAACAAAACAAACATGGACGAGAATGACCAAAGATGAGTTCACTACTCTTGACTGCTTATTGAGCCATCCTTTTTGAGACGTTTCCTTTTTGGGTTTAAGCTCCCTCGTCGATGGAAGGTTCTGTGCGGTCCTTGGAGCTCTTGATGTGCTGTAAAATGGTAAAAGCATCGTAGGCATACACGAGGCCGGCAATCAGTCCAAACACCCCGCCTATGATGCGCGCGCCTGTGCCATTAATGACACAGATCAGAGAGGTGATTATAAAAACAAGAACAGCGATGCCAGTACGGAAAAGGTCAACCCAAACCCAGTCTATCTTTTGAAATTTCTTGTCCAGCTCCAACCAAAAGATGATAAAGAAGGCTATGGAGGAGAACATCTCAAAGGCGGCCAGAGCGGTGTAGCCCGCATGCAGGGACACTCCATAGCAAACAACGATAATCAAGCTGATTATAATCTCTGCTGTTAGTATGAAACCCTTCGTGGTCTTCATGTAACATTTCAGCTTCTCCAAGTAGTCAACAAAGGTGCTGGGAACAGCTGTATCAGCCATCTCTGGATCAACCGACATCTTGCGGACAGTTCAAAACAAAGTGAACAAGAAGGGATTCTTTAAAAATGCACTAGTCCAAAATGGTTTTCTTCTTGTACAGCCTACATGTACACAGTAACTACAGCACGTGTCCTGACTTTCATGTATCCGTATCGGTGGCTTTGATGTTTGGAATTAGCCTTTCAAAATTCAGGTTGTGTCATTTTCCTGGAACATTTTTTTCTGGTCCGCTGTTAGAACATCGGTCTTGTGTGACTTTTAAGTAATTTCGAAAATTTACCGGATTCTCTCCGCCGTATCTGTCTATGACACACTTGATGCATGTCAAGATGCTTTCCTCGGTGACATGTCTGACCTGCACCTGCGACCTTCTTAAAAGGTCGGCTCCGGTCGGTAACACATAATACATTAGCGCTGAATTGAAACCCCCCAAGCTAGCAAAATGAACACAAAAACAAACAACTATTTATTGCAACAGGTTGTTCTTTTTTAATAAAAATCGTCATTTCTTATATTATTATTGGTGGTTTTTGATGTACATCTCGCAGCTGTGACTGAATTGTGCGTCATGGGTTTGTTGCTAGTTAGTAAAAGCGTTATTATGGCTATAGGTAAAGATGATAAGATTGTCCAATAATATAGGCCAACCAATATTATTGGACAGCTTAATTGGATAGTTTAATTATGTAATATCAATCACAATCAATATTGTTTTTTTTTATGTTTTTAATTCAAACCCAATAATGGATTTCCTGGGTTTTGACCAGATGATGAGAACCTGATGATATGTATTCCCTTTCTGTACAAACCACTATATGAGTTTCTGCCTACGTATTCCCTTTATGTACAAACCACTATATGAGTTTCTGCCACCGAACGACTGGAGGCTTGTGTTTGGTCTGAATTGACTTTTATACAACACTTGAAGAAAATGAGTGATCTAGATAATCAGATGTCCAGAAAGATGTGACCTACTCAAGAAACAATTTTAAGACAATTTAGAAAGGTTGCTCATCCACTTCTGGTGTCAATAAGAGTAATAAGATAATTGAATTATTAATTGTATTATTATTATTTTTTATTATTTTTTTCATTATGCAAATGCTATTTTTCTCTTATTTTCCTTAATAGTCCATGTAAGTGACCGACTCATTTTTGAGTGATGAACCGTTTCCGTTACAATTCGATTCGATTGTTACTGATCAAACCGCCCAATGATAACGGTATTCTTTTACTTAAAATGCACTGTTCCAAAATATTACGCAGAAGAGAATTTCAAAACAATTTTATTGTTGGAAAGAACTGAAAATGGTCACGTTGCATGTTCTGCCCTGTAAGCGCATGTTTTTTTTTTAACGTACTCCGGTTTCCTAGCGCAAACCAAATTAGGCAGAATTATTTGCTTTAAATTGACCATATTGTATTGTCTCCATGTGGCTTTCCATTAGATTTGGAATTTGTCCAAGGTGGACCCTGCTTTGAAAGGGATGAAGTAGCAGATAAATAGAAAAAAACAAAACAAAAAACGATTTATGTCATCTGTATCTTTTGCTAAAATATAGATACAATAGGACACGGGTGTCAAACTCTTTTTCACCGGCGGCCACATCAGCAATACAGTTTCTGTTGAAGGGCCGGTTTTAAATGGAACACTGTATAGATCAGGGGTCCCCAACCCCTGGTTCGCGGACCAGTACCAGCCCGTAGGTCATTTGGCCCGCAGTGGGACACAAAAAAATCACTCAAAAAATTGAAAAAATTCTAATTTACTTCATTAAAAAAAAAAAGTCCATTTACTTTCTTTATTTGACAATAATCTGACAATATTTTAAAATAAAAAGTCATTCAGACTTTGATACAAACAGAATAGAGTCTGGTATTGATGTAGCGCCTCCATAACAGACTAATACATGTATCTGCAATTGATTATTAATTATTCAAGCTACAAATATTGTTCATTGCTGTGTAATAAAAAAAAAACTTTTAATTTCATAGGTTGATAAACTCTGCTGCATGGACTTTATTAAATGTTTTTCAAGCTCCCGGGGGCCACAAAAAGTGGGTTAGGGTTTGGGCCTTGAGTTTGACACCTATGCCCTAGATCCTATATAAAACCTGGACCGTTACATTTTTGCTAATGTGTTTTTTTTTTTGTTTTTTTTTTTTCAAGAATTATTTTTTGTTCCAAAAGTTGCAAATCTTTACAAACTCAAAGGTTCAAAGTAACATATTGTTAGTCATGCTCAACATCAAACCTGGGTGTTGACACATGGAGAAAACACAGCATCCCTCCGGATGTCCCGAACACAGGAGGAGGAGGGGGGAGGAGAACAGGCGTTAGTGTGGAGGGAGGGGACTGACAGCAGCAGTCTGGGGTCCAACATCAACTCAGCTCCCTCCAACCCCCTCCGCTCTCGTGAAAAAAAAAAAGAAAAAAAACCTCTCCGGACTCCCACCACATGTCGGTCCATCTTTTTTTCCCCTTCCTCTAAAGTCTCTCTGGGGGAACAGGAAATAGCCAGCTTTAGTGAACTCTAACGGTCTAGCAGCGCGGGAAGATCGTCTGGCTCTGATTGCCGTTGTGCTGTTCCTTCTTTCTGGCTTGGTTCTAACGCTCCAGCAGGAAAATTGCTTGGTGTGGCTGTGTCGGGGAGAAGGCTCAGGAGGAGGTGAAACTGCGGGACGAGATGAGTGAGAAACAAGCGGCGACGACGGAGGACATCATATCAGGTAAGACACAGTCAGACACCCCGGGATTTCTGCACACGAAACCGAGCACGCACTTTGGCCCGGCTAAGTAGGGTGTAGCCGTTCCAGTAAGGCGTGTGGGGATTGAAAAGTAAAAGCTGCGGAGACTAAAAGTGTGCTACACCGCAGTGCAGGAGAGCCGAGTGTGTGAAGCGGCCGGTAGGAGGTGGTGGTGGAGGGAAAGGAAGGAGGAGGAGGAGGAGGAGGACAGGGTTGAGCTTCACTCTTAGCCGCAATGTTCTGGACCAAGGCCCGCAGGCAAGCTGACGTGCGGGCCGGGGTCTGGGGCCGTTATGTTATATCAGAGTTATCTGTGTCTCGTGTCATTTAGTTTTGTTCACACAGTTCGGTTCCTCCGAATCGAGTTCATTCACATGGCCCGTCCCACCAGAGTTGTGACTCAATGCAGCAAAAAGTCTGCAGCAGCAGCTGCACCAGCAGCAGCAGGGCCGCAGGTAACGCAGTGTACTCAGCTGCAGGGAGTGCGATTTTTCACCTCACACTTCCAAATGGCTCCACCCTCTGAATTTTCTGATGAGTTAGCGCTGTCGTGTAAAGCTTTGAGTTTTTTTTTTATTTTTATTTATTTATTGTTCCTTTAAAGGTCGAACACGCAACGTGTCTGCGGGATAGCTAGCAGACTCTCCTACTCTACAGGAAGGCATAAATTCAACAAGAGATGCATTTTTTTGACAACACACTTTACAGTAGTTTGGCTTGATTCTCCATTTTGCCTCTGCGCCGTGAGTTCTTGGTTTAAACCGAATAATGCAGTGTCATATCTGCATTATTTCTGGGCCAAATATTTACATTAAGTGAATTGATTTTCTTCACACTCAGCTGCAGGTGACAGTAATGAATTATGTTTGTAAAAATATATACTATATACTATATATATGTTTTTTTTTTCAGTTATGTCCATCATGTTGTGCCTGTAACATTAAACTTTAGATAAGCCAATTTGGGAGTTCTTATGGTCATAATGTTTTTTTTCCTGGTACTTGGCAGTAGTAATGTAATGCTTACTATAGTGACTCCAACACACTGATGTCCTGCAGTGATTGGAAGTGAAATGATTTACTCAGCGGGACTCCTCTGGACAGATATAGGAGCCAACGTTCTTAAGAGATAAGTTTAAGTGAGAGAGAAAAAACCTGGAATGCCTTAAAAACCAACAAACAAAGAGACAATGATACATTTTTTTATGATATTTTTTGTTCGATTTTTGGTACAGACGCTGCCGTCTACCTCTACGTTCTTTGAGGGACTCAATAGTCAAAGTGAAAACAATTGTTCCAAAAATATATATATAAATATATATATAAATATATATATAGTTCACTCTTAGAAGAAACCTACTACTATTTTGGATTGTTACATTTTCTTTATCTTTAAGTTCCCGAAAGACTAGTGGTACTACCTTGGTTCCAGCTCTTACTCTTAGTGAGTTTGCATTGCAAATTTGCAAAATTGCAAAATGCTTGTAATCATGTCAGCCTCGCTTAAAAAAAAAAAGGTAAACAAAGACCTATTTTGGATTGTTACATTTTCTTTATCTTTAAGTTCCCGAAAGACTAGTGGTACTACCTTGGTTCCAGCTCTTACTCTTAGTGAGTTTGCATTGCAAATTTGCAAAATTGCAAAATGCTTGTAATCATGTCAGCCTCGCTTAAAAAAAAAAAGGTAAACAAAGACCTACATAGCCATGTAACATGGTTGAAGTTTGGCCACCTTTAAACATAAACAATTATTTTGATACGTTCAAAAATATGGAGAGGTGCTGTACTTCAAAAAGGTCCAACCCTTCCGATGGTTACGTTTTCAGTATTTGAGGCAGTTGATATGATGAGATGGAGAAAGATGATCCCCTATGGCTATGGAACCTCGGTTTTTCAAACTTAACTTGCTCCTGAAGGTCGTTGGTGAACCGAAAAGTTCGAAACCGAAAAGTTCGAAACCGAAACAATGTTCCCTCAGTATAAAATGGATTAAACTGTTCCCGTACCCCGGATGATTGCTTAGTCAGGCTTTTTTTTAACAGTATTTTGCGTACGAGTTCATACACGAAACCAATGGAAATAATTAGATCTAGCAAAGAAAAGATAAACACAGCGTTAAAAAAAGAATAAAGCTATAACTAGGAAAGGCAATTTCATTCATCCTTACTGATACTAAGGAGTCGTGTTTGTGCAATGTTCGCGTTGCTTTCTCACAAATTCTTGACTCCAAAATACTTTTTCTTCCTGCCAACTGCTTTTTGTTGATCCAAATCAGTGGAAACTTTTCTGCTTCTGCTAACGTCTGAGATCTTAGCTTGGTGATCACAGTCACTCCTTTTGGCAACCCTAGCTTCTTTTATTGCCAGATCTGAAACATCTGTGAGTGTCAGTCTCATGCTTGCATAAAATCTTTCTTCACTTCTTTTGTTTCTCTCACTATTTTTCTTTCCCGTGTTGTTTTATAAAATAAAGAAAATAGAAGAAATACCACAACGCAAGTAGTTCCCGGCAAAATCACACAACAGTTCTTAGCATGTATATCCCGAACGCGGATTACTTGCTGCTTGCATGGTATTGTCTCTTGTTGGGCAACCGAGTTATGGTATGACAATCGGGGCAATTTTTGGTTAAATATTTAGTTTGTGAAGTGAATTTTTCCAGGTTACACTATATTTAAATGTAATTCTCTCTCAAAAAAACCCACCAATGTTCTTGTTTAAGATTCTCTCAAAAAAAAAACCCACCAATGTTCTTGTTTAAAGGTACTTGAGCTTCAGACGGTGCAACTTCACGTTGGTACCATCATTGTGTATTTCCCCAAATGCTAGGCACATAACCCCTTTACATATAAGCATGCATTTTCTAGCAGTTTCTTCAACAGAAGTGAAGGATATTAGTTGGTAAAAAAGACAACTTAAGGCTTGGTTATTTGGTGCTGTTTCCCGATTACAGTATCAGATGAGCAGCAGAAGAATGTGTTCAGTAGGAAATTCTGAAACCCAGTTCAAATAAATGTTTTAACAACTGACATAAGGTGAGCGTGTTAAAATAAAAACACAGATGTGTTTCCGTGCAGTAAGTTTGCGAAAACTTTTTACCCCTAAATATATTGTATTATCAGTGATAGATTAGGTTGGTAGGTTGGTTGGATCGATACCTATTCCCTTTAATTTTTAATGCCATGTTGTGTTCACTGGCTCATGTACCTGTCTATAGAGATCTGATCCTAATGTGTGGTGGTGGTGGGGGGGGGCAAAGTGAGCAAGAGTGAGAGAGTCGGGCATCAGTGTGAGTCATGGCTGAAACGGCGTCCGTGTGTTGCCTCTGTGTGTCGCTAGATCATACGCAACAGTACTTTGCTGAATCACCCCTGCGGAATACTCCCAACAGTCAAGACTAAACCACATTAACTTGTGCAATGATTGATTACATTAGTGACAGCCAAATATAATCTTATCAACTCTGGGACTGGCTTTGTCTGATTTGGTTATCAGTCTCCCAAGTCGTTGCGTTTTGTGATTTTCTTAGAAATGAAACCTTTGAAAACATCTAGATTTTCTATCTAAAAAAACCAAAATACTATCAATTCCCAGTCTTAGATCGATTAAGTATATCTTTCTATCTATCTGTCTTGTCCTATGCAGAAGAATTCAAGCCTACATTATCACCTAAATGCAGACGTGTTGCTACAAGCACGGACATCCGAGCTACATTAATTAGGCAATCCTGATACGAACAAACTTAGCCAGACCACAACAGATCTCGGCCCGTAATCTATAAATCCATTAATTGCACGATGACTGAAAATGAGGTTGATCATTTTGCTGGCTGGCCCTCGATATGTTGTCAAGTGAGTGCATGTTTATTTTCCTCAATTCTCGACTCAAAACAGGTTGGATAACAACAAGAGGGTTTACTCTGTGCATCAGTCTCAGCACCTGGGGGGCGTTTGTTCCGTAGCGGAATGAGCAGCTCGAACCATTTTGTCAGTCACCCACTTGGTGGGTGGAGACATGACCGCTAGAAGCAACAAAAAAAGGGCAACACAACAAACTTTTCATGCCCACATAAAACATAACCACCAGAGCCAGTCTTTCTAGGTGGAGGGAGAAGATCTAGAGCATTCGTAGAACAGAGGCGTTTGGTCGTAAATACAAACGGAACATCGCAAAAGCTATATTTGTATATATTTTCATGAGGGGGAAAGTACCAGTGAAGAGGTAATGAATTGAATTCAAGTACCGTGAAAGAAAAATACCTTCAGGGCCTTCATCGTAAATTTGAGAAATGGTATAAATAGTAAGAGTAATAAAGAGGGATGCACCGAAATTTTCGGTCACAAGACTTTTGAATGTTGAATATAATGGCTGTCGTGGCTATTCAGTCTGCAGTGAAAGTAACCATCACACTCGGTTGGGTCACATTTCACAGGCACCACCCGGTTATCTTTAACTGGGTAAACTGACATGACAAATCAGTTTATGCCACTTTAAATATGAATGATTGTAATCATCATGATTTAAAGGTTACTTCATAGTCCGTCTGTAAGTCCCCTTGCTGAATCATACCTCTGTGGGCGTGCAACCACTGTACATCTGAACTGCAAATTCAAACTGCAACGTCATGCTCTCATCTGTCAGGACAGTCCAGTGATCAAGCATTCACTTTGTTGGCTGGCGCTGCGCTACAGGTTCAGTGGGTTCATACCGAAAGTGCCGTTATGTAGACAAGTTTAATCTAAACCAGTATGTAAAGTAATGGCGGATTTATCAGCTTTTATGTGGACTAACTTGTAGGGAACGGTGTTACACTACTTTTATTCTTTCTTTTTTTTTTGCAAAGATATTTTAAAACATAAACGTTTCTTTCTGTAACATATCGATATGTGAGCATAAAATATCTCTTTGAGGAGGATTTTAATCAGAAATATTTAATTAGATGCAATAGTCTTTTGGTTTGCGTGCATACTTTTGTACTTGGTAT